CTTACACAGTTCTTTCTCACCCGCCTCACACAATTCCTCGCTTCTACAAATCTCGCGTTATCAGGGTTACAGTTAGCCTGACTCTTGCTAACGAACTGTCATGTATTGCATCCCCTTCCTGTCAGTTCTTTCTCTGCTTCCACAGTAATGATACCTTACAAGAGACTTTTTGCATAAAGCATATTCCAGATACATTATATTCACGCTCATCAGCATATTTCCATAAAATCATATGGAGCAACGTCACAATGGCTTTTGTTGATGTCTTTGGAATCCTGGATGGCTGGTCAGTCTCAAATGGATGCTTTGGCTGGCAGGTTGACCACAGCCCCTGTTGCTTGGACCCTGGTTCACTTTCCGGTCAGGGATGTCATCTGGTTGGGTCTTTTCTCCTTAGATGGGGCAAGGCTGTGGTCAGCTCATCTCGCTGTGCTGATGCAGTGCAGCTGATTTCAGGATGATAGAAAGCCAAGAGAGTAAGAAATAGGACAGGAGGAGGGACGGTGCGGGGAACAACCTGAAAGGAAGGAGACAAAACAGGATCTTGTGCATCTCTGCGATGCTGGCAATGAAGTATCCCCACTGATGGACTGAGGACTGGGTGTCATAATGCTGTGATTATTTTCATCTAAGAGTTCTGAAAATCAAGTTCCTTAATGGAGAGCAAGGCCAGCTGGCATTCTGCCTGGAAGAAAGTATTTCAGTCTGGTTTGCTGCTTCTATCTTGGGGTGAGGGGAGATGAACTGAGATGCATGGGGGAGGGATAGCTCAGTGGTTTGAGCATTGGCCTGCTAAACCCAGGGTTGTGAGTTCAATCCTTGAGGGGGCTATTTAGGGATCTGGGGCAAAAATTGGGGATTGGTCCTCCTTTGAGTAGGGGGTTGGACTAGATGATCTCCTGATGTCCCTTCCAACCCTGATATTCTAGGGTGGGGTGGGGAAGAGAGTCTCTTTTTTTTTTTTAAGGAAATCCCCAAAGGGGAAATGTTGGTGTCAGAGTTCATCCCCCCCCCACATTATTTTCTCTACCAATTAGACCCAATATCTCTCACACCAATTTTGGTCCATTAACTTCTGGTTCCACATCTTCTGTTTTTACCAAGGATGATTTCAACACAGTCCTTGAATCATACCGTCAGGTCTCCTTATGTTTGGACTAGCCTAGCTTCTTTGTCTGGTTCTTTTGCACTTGTTTATAATCATTTATTGGCAACTTAACCTATTGCTCATGGTTAATTTCCAAGTAGGCAAAAATTGTTGGTTAGCGTGTCGGCTTATGAGCTTTCACGTGCTTTTGTACGTTTCAGCTTCCCACGGGGGTAAATGTTATGGGCCCAGTAGTCACAGCAGACCCTGTGTGTCTGATTTCAGCATGTGGCTGGCTAGCAGCCAGCAGCCCCCTGCTGTTCCATTTCCCACAGAGATGGCTGTCAGTATCTTGGCAGGACCCTGATTCAGCTGGCACCTTGCTCCAGCAGCCCTGCCTTGTCTGAAGGGCTGCCCGGTGTGGGAAGCAGTGGAGAGGTCCTGAAAGAGGATGTCTGTTAACTGCCATAACAAGGTGCTGTTCTTCCCCAAAGGATGCACTGTGGAAATGGCCCTGGAGGCAGCATCCCTCCATCCTGCCCAGCTCCTGGGAATTGAGCACCGAAAGGGGACCCTGAACTATGACACCGATGCAGGTATCGGCACGATTGCAGGTTGATGCACCAATTCACCATTCTCCACAGTGTCGTCTGGTGGCTGAGGCTAGGGCTGGAGTAGCAGTGAGCTCCCCAGCCCACCATCACCATTCCCCATGGGGGTGGCTCCTAGAAGGAGCTGAGGCTGACGTACCTATGAGCTCCCTCACCATTGGGGCTGCTACACCATTCCCTACAGCGCCTCCTACTGATACAGGATGGGGCTGGCATAGCTGGGGTCTGCTGGCTGAGGCTCAGTAACATGCCCTCTCAAGCTTGGCCTTAGCACTTGGATTGGGAAATGGCTCCTTTGGTTCCTATTGTCTCTGTTTGAATCCAGTCCTCTTGTGCAGTCTAGTCCCTGTGGCAGTCTGTAAACCAGGGGAGGTCACTCCACCTGTACAGACTCAAGATGCAACTGCCCCTCCCCAGAATGGCAGAGTTGCCAGCCTGGGTAGGGGCAGTTCTACCACTGTTTGGGGTACGTGCCTTACCGTAAATCCTCTGCGGTCTCCATGGGTATTGGAATGTCTCCTCCATCAGCAGGAAAACCCTTACAGTCCTTTCCCATGGCAACCCCAACAGATCAAGCACCCCTCCTGCTGCCTCTGATTCCTGCTTCCTCTCTTCTGTCTGTTGCAGATTTCCTGCTGCTGGACAACAGCTTACAGGTGCGAGCCACGTACATCGCAGGTGAACGGGTCTGGAGTCAGGACACCTTCACTATATGAAACCAGAGACTCACCTGGGACTGGCAGCACTCCCCCCAACCCTGGTGCCAACTACCAGCTCCCCCAAGCGCCATGCTCAGTGGTCGCTGGCAGCCACATTGTCCTCTCCCTCTCAAAGAACGCTTTTGTAAGACCTTGGTGTTTCTTCCTCCTGGGTCACCCTTGAAAGTACCAAAGAACTGCATGTTCCAGAGCAGCCCTTGCTTTCAGTTGCCAGCCCTGCCTGCAATGAGTTTGTCAGCTGTCTGCTAGACAAGAGGTAAAAGAGTGGGTGGAGCTCTGCTGCTGGGATCACTCTGCGATGGAGCCACCTGAAGGACAAGGTGCCTGTCTGTCTCTGTTCTCTCTCTTGAGCACTGGATTTGAGCCCTGCTGTAGAGGAAAGGGAAGCTACTCCATGCACTGTTCTGTTTCGATATGTGCCCACATTGGCCTATGTGCATATCACAGCACACACACAACACTAACTTCACTTCCCAGAATAGGCCTCTGGCTGTGCCCTTTGTCTCTCACCATCGGGCCTATTAATGCCAGTGTGTTGACTTCCCAATGTTCATCTGCCCATTTTCTAGAGAAATCCCAGTGGCCTTGAAGCAGCTCTGCTGACAGCCTGCAATCTGGCTGGGAGCCTGGGGAGGGGGCGATGTCTCTACCTGGCACTGTCAGCCAAGGGCCGTGAGTTCATGTCACACCCTTGATCTCCTGTACCCCGAAGCAGAGTACTCACCACCTCGCTCAGGCCGTGGGCAGCCCTAGTGCCTTGTGTTGCTCCCTGGGATGAGACCCTCACCACCAATTTTCATCCTGGGCTGAATCCTCAGGGCTGTGTACAAACCCATGAAAAGCAGGAGCTGCTGGTTCCTTGTGCTGTCTTGCTGTGTGGGCAGTGATTTTGTCTGCTGGGTGCATGGACTTCATTCTGCAGCAGAAAGCAGTGTTGTTCTTGAACTGTATACACATGCAAAGTGGGTCTTACAGGCTCTAGTATATATTCCCATCTGTATTAAACTAATATGATTGGAAAGCTTCCCGAGGACGCTACACAGCTTGCTGGTCTGTTAGTTTCTTTGTGTCAGTGATGAGGTGAGATACTTTTGCTGTAGGGAATGTATCCAAAATGGCAGTGATGTAACTGGACACCATTCCATCTTGAGGTGCAGGGTTCTCTCAGGGTTTATGTCCTCACTAGAAGCTCTGGATGGGATTAGATGATTGTTTATCTGCTCATTCTCATAATTATCTTCACTTGATGTGTCAGTTAGCTTTCGGACTCTACAGAAGGCTGAGAGAGTTTCCATTCTAATCCTGATCTTGATTCTGAACTTGCCAACAAGAAAATGTATCTGAAATGCCCCCTCACAGGTAGAGGAGACAGTGTCTGAGATACTTTAGGTCAATCAGACAATGATAGGACTTAAACTGTGGTGAAGCTTAGCAAGTTTGGTGTTCATAAAGAAACCTTAAATCTGGTAGGTTTCAGTTAGGTTTGTTCTTCCTTGCAATACCTTTTTATAAGTTCACTGGAAACAACATCTGAATGAGCCCTCATTGTAGTTGTAACCCCTGCTGGCATCACTGGTCTCCTCTGAGAATTTCTAACATCTGCTGCCTAGATGAGCAGATACTCTGCCCTCCCAGACTGCAACATTTGAAGGAGATATCAAATGTTGTGCTAGCATGTGCAGCACTCTGGGGTTCCACATCTCACCAGTGGCACTTCTGACGGCCATGGAGCCTCTGTATAAAAATGGAGGAAATTTCAGGACAAAAAAAGTTTGATAGACCCTAATTTTGAGAATGTTTTACTTATTTTTTTTGTAATTGAATAAATGTTATAGATTTAAGTGCTCAAAAGGCGGTATAAATATAGTCTGACTTTAAGGTAAAATATAAAATAGATTTATTAACTACAGAAAGATAGACTTTAAGTGATAGAAAACAGATTAAAGAAGATTACTTAAACAAAATGCAATCTAAATCTTATACACTACACGGGATTTGAATCAAACAGTGTCTCACCCTGTTAGAATCATTAGGGTTGGAAGAGATCTCAGGAGGTCATCTAGTCTAACCCCCTGCTCAAAGCAGGACCAACACCAACTAAATCATCCCAGCCAGGGATTTGTCAAAACCTCTAAGGATGGAGATTCCACCTTATAGTACAAGCAGTTTGTAGCTGTTTTATTCACAGGTAGGAATCCTCTCTTCTAGCCTGGGACAAGCACTTCCCCCAGTTCAATCTCTGTTTCAAAGGTGTTTCCAGATGTTCTCTTGGGTGGAGAATGAGGCCTCTTGGTGATGTCATTTCCCCCTTTTGTAGTTTCTTCCATAGGGCAGGAACCCCTTTGTTCCCAGCCCAGTTTGTGGAAAAATACAAGTACCAAAATGGAGTTCAGTATCATGTGATCTCCTCACATGGCCTTGCATGCTTTACTGAGTCAGAGCAGGGGCCATTACCCATATTCCAGATAGAACTTTCTCAGGAAAGGGGGGAGGGATAGCTCAGTGGTTTGAGCATTGGCCTGCTAAACCCAGGGTTGTGAGTTCAATCCTTGAGGGGGCCATTTAGGGAACTGGGGTAAAAATCTGTCTGGGGATTGGTCCTGCTTTGAGGAGGGGGTTGGACTAGATGACCTACTGAGGTCCCTTCCAATCCTGATATTCTATGATTCTATGAAGGAAGGTCCATCAGGTGTAGATAGGCTTCTTCCATGGTCCATTGTGAGTTAAGTGTTCTTTGATGGGCCATTCAACTTGAATAGTTCCTTCACAATGTGCTGGCCAGACTAGAAGTAAAGCTTTGTGGGTGTTACCCAGAGCAAGCACATTTGAAATACACATGCATAGTCAATATTCATTACTCCAGAAACAAATATAATACATGCATACAAATAGGATAATCATATTCAGCAAATCATAACTTTTCCATTGACACCTTATGTGACACTTTGACATAATTATGATGCACTGTGTACAATCATACCACAATGGTGAATATGGGGTGCAGTGTATCCAGTCAGTTGTTGGTGTGTGTTGATATGGGATGGTTGAATTGAAAATGAGTATGTTAAGGGGAGTTGGCATGCTCCAGTGACTGAATATTTGGAGAGCAGTTTTGGTGAGGGGAGTGACTGTTTTAACCTATCAGAGGGGTAGCCGTGTTAGTCTGAATCTGTAAAAAGCAACAGAGGGTCCTGTGGCACCTTTGATACTAACAGAAGTATTGGGAGCATAAGCTTTCGTGGGTAAGAACCTCACTTCTTCAGATGCA